AGAGATTAAAGTCAGAATTCTGAGAAAAAGTCAGAAATCTGAGATTAAAGTCAGAATTCCGAGAAAAAAGTCAGAATTCTTAAAGTCAGAATTCTGAGAAAAAAGAATTCTGAGAATAAAGTCGGAATTCTGAGAAAAAAGTCTGAATTCTGAGAAAAAAGTCAGAAGTCTGACGTTTTCCACCGTGGTAAACTGAAATAATATTTTAAAATCAGCTAACTTCTTTTAGATGTTTTCATTGGCCCTAATCCTCTTCCATACATTTCAGCTATTTAACTAAATCAGTTTAAATATTCAAACCCACTCATTCAGTTTTATAATCTAGTAATAAAGTTTACACACAATATTATAAATCCTGCCTTACAAAAATATATTTTAGTTATTTAAGTTATAAATCTAGAACGTTTCCAAAGGGTTAATTTAAGGGGGTTACTAATGTTTGAAATTTAAAAAGCCAAAACTAATCTCAATACAAAAAAATCAAAAGCTTTGAAAGCTTAATTTACGTTTCCACAGGTGAAAATTTTTAGTCAATCACATTTTTTTTATCCTTGATTATAAAACCTAAACAAAAGAATTAAACATCAAGTGGGAAAAAAAATTGACATTAACACATTCAAAAATAAGGCGGCCATACTCCCACTATGTACATTAACCATTTTGATCAAAATTTATTAAATGTGTTTATTTGTAGTCTCTACAGTCTCTTTCCATTATTAGGATTTCATATACTATGTCAATTCACCTATTAGAGTTTGGAACATCCTTCCTAAGCTATTTCAAAACTCTATCTAGCAGCTACTGATAATGTTATCCTCAAATATGAGTTAGTTTTCAGGAGGTGTATATCCCCCAGATCCTGCCTCCAGGATCTTACAGTATGCACTTCTACCCAGAACGGGGCTATGGAAGGGCAACAAAAGATATGAAAAAAGACTTGCCTTTACCTCAACATATAATCTCTAACAAGAGATGAACTGAATATTTAGATTTCCATGCAGGTTTGCAAAAAGATTTTGTCATACTTTCCTGCTGTCTTCCATACATAAGCGGCTTGTAGCTGCCGTTAAAAGAGCCTTTCCCATTCTTCTGTTGTGAAAATGACACCTCCTGCTGTTTCCCATCTTTTTTTAATGTGCAAAAAATTGTGACATTTACAACACAGATATTTTACATCACTCTTAGTTATGGAACATCTTTATATGCACTATTCAATATTCAAGGATTTCTGCTTTGCAAAAATATGGTTTCTCAAACATTTTTGCAGAACGTTTCTAACTTGTAAATATCTGCAGAGACTCTGGTTTATCATTCCAAAATGCTCTTTAAGGTCCTGGAAGCTAATCCTTCTTTCATCTGTAAATAGAGTAAAATGTGTTGCATATCCTGATTTAATCAGTGTATTAAACTTTGTGTAATTCTTTACTGGTGCAAAAATCTGATTTATAAGCAAAAAATAAATAATCAGCTTTTTCACTCAGTTGGTTTTTCCATGTCGTTAATAATACATACGTAATGATAGTTGAATTTTATTGATCTCACATTGGAGAAATTCACCTCTGCATTTTACCCATCTCCTTAGGCAGCAGTGGGATGCCACTGTGCATCCCCCAGGGAGCAATCTGGGGTTAAAGGTGTTGCTCAGGATCCCAGAGTAGAAGCAGTGGGATTCGAATCGGGTACCTGCAACCTTCTCAATGCACAAGGGCACTGCTCTAACCCACCAGGAGGAGTGTAGGCCAACACTCCTCCTAGTGGGTAATCAATAGTTAAAGAGCTATTGATTTCTGAAGGTGATTGCTAACGTCCTTTACCTCCTTTTTATTGAATGATCCCTGATATAAGAATGCTACAGTAATAGTGAGCACAAACATTTTAGTTTTTGTTCCATTTTATTTCCTAGTTAGGTTTGCACTGTCCCACTCATGGACATAGTTGGTTGGCTCTATAGTAGTCCCGAAGACATGAAAGAGCTAAACACCTTATTTGCTTCTAGAGTTGTAAGGTTTGATATTTCACTCTTTTGCTTTTTACCTGCCCAAATTATTTTTTTTACCTTACCTTACCTTACCTTATCACCTTTTACCATCCAAAAGAAGGGATAAAGGGATCAATTCAGTTTATTTCTATAGTGCCGATTCACAGCACAAGTCATCTCAAGGCACTTTACAGTTCAACCAGATCATCCAGTCAAATTGATTCAAAGTTTTCTATCTAAGAAAAACTAGTTGATTGCATGGGCTCATTGACTCGAATGCAATCCCTCACACCAAGCATGCTTGTAGCGACAGTGGAGAGGAAAAACTCCCTTTTAACAGAAAGAAACCTCCAGCAGAACCAGGCTCAGTGTGAGCGGCCATCTGCTGAGGCCGACTGGGGTTCAAGGAGACAGAAGCAGAGATAGAAAGGCGGCCCCATCCAGGAAACACACAGTCATGCAGATGAGCTCCATCCAGCTCCCA